CACAGATTACAGGGTAGGAGTGACACTTTGAGTGTCTACAGACTGCGCAGTTTCAATCAGGATTCTCCACTATGGTTCTGGATTACTTATTTACTGGCACAGAACCAGTCCTGGAAACCCCCAGTGAACTTGTTGCCCTTATAAGAATTGGTCAGCCTCTTTGTATCCTGGTGTCAACTCAGAGCTGAATATGAGAAAGCCCTCATAAGAGCTCTACCCCAGTCTATTTGTATATAGTGGTGTTGATATATTTGAAAAAAAAACAACATTTCTCACTTTGTGTGAAACCCATTCTCCAGGAAAACAGAGCATGGAGCAATCAGGAACTTCTCCTAGTGCAGAGAATGGGTTTGAGAGCTTTCCCATGTTGTAGTAGATTGTTGTGCTGGAGGTCACTTAGTACTCTGTGCTTCTATGGTGTCTTCATTCTAGGGGCTCTAAGTTCTTTAAGAAAGTTCATTAACTTAGCGTCTCAGGCTGTCGTAGGCAAGCAGTATTGTTCTCAACGTAAACTTGAGGACACTGAGGCACACAGCACTATAGTGGCTTGCCTAAGATCCTAAGACAGAAATAGAATCTTAATGGACTTATTGTTTCCCAGAGGTGCTGAACACCTGAAGCTCTCACTGATCCCAGTGAGATGTATGTGCTCATCTCTTCAGAATATCAGGCCATAAGTCTCCTGGCCCCTGTTCTAACCACTAAGCCATCTTGTTGCATACGGTATGCAAGGCATGCAGGTTTGATTTCCTGGGATGCAATGTTATTGCTGTTCTTTACCCTGCCTTTTTATTTACATGAAATTCAATACCTCTATTCAGCTACCCTCTCTGCGAGTGATAAGACTGTGAAATTGTAGTTGTATTGTGAAAAAATAGCGCCACAGAAAGAAAGAGGCCAGTGTATGGTTTTAAATAAATCCCACAACACTGCAGCTTCCATTCAGCATGCAGTCCCTATGTAGAACTGAGAAAGGGTTTCCTCTACCATTATTTTCTTGTGGCATTCAGTTAGTGCGGAAGGACTGGCCAGAAACTTGCGAAGTGCAAAGGCCCACAGTGTTAGTACTGGGATGGGCTAATTTTGTGAATTGAGGACCAAAAACAGGCATGATAGGAATTCCTTCCCCTCTGTACTCAGAGGCAAATCTCCTCTGTTCCCACCCCTGCCTGCTCCCCTCCCATTCCCTTTTTCCCCACCTGCCATTGCTGCTGTCCAGAAGTGAGGGGACCTTCTGTCCTCCTTTAGCTGGGTTCAGCCTGGGACAGTGGTAGCAGCAAGGAGGTGCATTTCTCCTCCCTGCCTGGTCCACTGGGTATTCCCTACCAGCCTGGGTGCAGGCATGGTGGGGGGGAAACCCTCCTGCCACTGCCACTCTCCTGAGCTAAGCCTGGCCCCCACACAACAAGGCTGGAGTGGCTCTGGAGCTCCCCTCACCCCCAGGACAGTGGGAGGACTGGGGAAGGGAGGAGATGTGCCTCTAAGCAGGGAGTGGAAGGGAAAGGATTCTTACCTGCCTTGGGGATTTAAAAATGTCTCCGCCTGCTGCTCCGGTAATTCAGTCTTCCTGCCCTGGTGGGAGGAGGGGAGGAGGCTGGGAGTGGGGGGTGCAACCACCCCTGCAGCATGGGTCACTGCTCCCACATCCCCTCTCTGCAAAATCCTGGATCTGCTTCTGCCCATCTCTCCCATGTGAAGGCCAGAACTACAGGAGGTGTCTGAGAGTTTGATCCTGCAAACACCTGAGTGCTTCTTTCAAGGTGCCAAACACTTTCAATTCTGACTGACATCAGTGGGAGCTGAGGGATCAGCCCCTGTGTAGGGAGGACAGAATCACAGTTCCAGTTGGTTTCTAATAGAATATTTCAGCTGAGTAATTGAGCTGTTTGTATGTGGAAGAAATTAAGCAGGAAGGTTTTGGGGGTTTAAAATAGGGCCGTATTTGGGGGGGTCTAAGTGGCCTGGGGCCATATGCCCTGCAAGCCACAACAATGGGGGCCACACACACTGGGGACTGAACTGACAGGCCCCTGGGCAGCCCCCTTCCACTTCCCTCCACCCCCACTGCACTGCACGTGCAGGTGTCAACCCCCCAACACACACACATGAGGCCCCCACCTTTGCTCCCTGGCCATGGACTCCCCCACTGCACCATGCTGCAGGCTGAACTGACCACTCCTTGGCTAGGGGCAGACGTTACACATAAACCAGTTTAAATGATCAGAAACTGGTTTAAACCTGTAACAGAACAGATGTTCAGTGCACATAAACAAGTTTGAAAATGGCAGCAACCAGTTTGAGATAAACCTGGTTGAATGTAGTATCAGACTTGGCTGATGTGGCTCAAACCAGTTTATGCAATGTCTGTCCCAGATCCCTTGCTGGTTTAAGATAAACCAGACTCCCCCAGCATCCCAGCATGCTGTCTGGCTGGGCGGGGTTCTCGCTTTCGGGCGGGGCGGGGTTCTCTGCGCCACAGCAGGGCTGGCCTCTCCTCTTCTTCCTGGCTGCAGCTCCAGCAGAAACTGTAGGCACAAGAGGGCCTGCCTGGCTTCCCCCTGTCCTGCCCCACCTCGTTGCTCAAGCAGGAATCCCCCCCTCCCTCCCATTTCCTACAACAGGGACCCCAGCCCCACAGACCCTAGGCATGTGGTATGCTAGCTAATGCCAAGAGGCATCTGTGTGTCTCTCTCTCCAATTTCACTAGGACAGGCAGACAGGACAGTGACAATTTAGGGCTTTTTGGAGCTAATCAACAGGTCAGCTGGTAAACTGTTTAAGAAGAGTTTGAACTAATGGAGATAGGCTATTGTTTGGCTGATGGGGTGAAAAACACTGTTATATCAGCAACCTGCTGGCTGGCTTGTTTGCCTGTCAGTTTGCTGCAGACAGTATAAAGAAGCAGGGAGGGAGATTGAAAAGCTCTGTATTATCAACAGATGCATGCACTGCACACTAGGGCTGTGCGAAACACCATCATTTCGTTTTGACGTCCATTTCGCCACTTTGAAGGGACGGTGTTTCGATTCATTTTTCGTTTCATTTCAAAACACTGTCCTGTTTCATTTCTTCAAAACTGTTTCGCTGTTTTGACTCATTTCAACATTTCACCCATAGGCTATAATGGGGAATCATGAAAATGCCTAAAACATTGTCATTTCTTGCCTGCTTTGGATGAAGATTGCAGGGATGGTAGCCCCTTCTGAGGGCATGAAGCCTGCCAAGTTTCAAGGAAATAGGTACAGAGGTTTCTCAGAAACTGCACCTCAAAGTTTTGAAAGCAAAACTTGCCGGCAGCAGCAGCCTCCTGTCATCCGGCAGGCAGATCCAGAGGCTTGCACCCCTAGGAGGGCTGCAGGACTGTGCCGGACTCCTCCCAGGGGTGCAGGTCCCTGGATCTGTGCTGGATGACAGGAAGCTGCCGCTGCACTTGGGACTAGTGCTGGGTGCAGCCCGCGCCCAACACCAGGCTCCATGGAGCTCAGCCTGGTGGTGGGAGGTGGATTGCAGCCCTGGCTCTGCCTGCCTCCCACTGCCGGGCTGCACTCTGAGCAGCTCCGCAGCCCCATGGAGCTCAGCCCAGTGGCAGGAGTTGGTGCTCCACCCCCCCCCACTGAGCGGAGCTCCATGGGGCTGTGGAGTCACTCAGAGCTCAGCCCGGTGGCAGGAGGTGGAGTGCAGCCCTGGCTGTACCTGCCTCCCACCACTGGGCTGAACTCCATGCGGAGCCATTCAAAGTGCAGCCCAGTAGCGGGAGGCAGGCAGAACCAGGGCTGCGCTCTGCCTCCTGCCACTGGGCTGACCTGCATGGGGCTGTGGAGCTGCTCAGAGCTCAGCCCGGTGCTGGGAGGCGGAGCACATCCCCATCTCTGCCCGCCTTCCACTACTGGGCTGAGCTCCATGGGGCTGGCAGAGCTGATCGGAGCTCGGCCTGGTGGCAGGAGCCAGGCAGAGCCAGCACTCCACTCCAATCGGCTCTGCCAGCCCCACAGAGCTCAGCCCGGCGGCGGGAGGCAGAGAGAGCCAGGGTTCTCTCCACTGGGCTGAGCTACGTGGGGCTGCGGAGCTGCTCAGAGCACAGCCTTGGCTTCTCCCCTGCCTTCCACCAGTGGTTTGCTTTGGAACTTGAAATGTTTTGAAACTTTCAAAACATTTCAAGCGCCCTCATTTCGTTTCAAAGCTGTTTCAATGCTTTTTGTTTCATTTCAGTTTCGCTCTTTCATGTTCGAAATGCGTTGAAACAGCTTCAAAATGAAACACTTGGTGAAATTTCGCACAGCCCTACTGTACACCCTCCCTACCCCACCCCTTGCCTTAGAGTGTTAGCAGGGGTCTGGGGTCTGGCAACACTCCTACCCCTTGAGTAGCCTGCAGGGAAAAGCTGGGGATGGTGCAGGCAGACCTCCCTAATCAGTGTCCTGCCAAGGCCTGACCACATCCCCCCTCCTCAGCTCAGCACTGTGTAAGGAAAGGGAGGGCTGTTCTAGCGCCCCCTCAACTTCTAGCCTGAACCATTACAGGCATGTGCCTGAATTTCCTCAGTCCAGAGAGAATGTCTGTCTGGTTATAAACCAGTTCTGCCTAGCCAGGTTAGACTAACCTGCAAAAATTGAATCAATTCAGGCTCAGGCTTTTTGAATGTCTGGCTCTTGGGGTACAGGCAGATAGTGAAAGCCAGAGGGAGAGAAGGCAAGCCCAGAGCCCTGGCTACTGCTGCAGCAGAAGACGTAAGGGGAGTAGTGCTCTGGCAGGAGCTGGGGAGGGTGCAGTTTCACCCCTCTTGGGCTGCCCTGCTTTAAAGGAAGGCAGCAGGATTGGCGGTGCAGTGGGAGAAGGTTGGTAATTTTCTCCATGGGTGAGGGACCTTTCCTCTGAAGCCTCAAAGTCTTCTCCACACATCCAATGATCCATCTTCATAACACCACTGTGACCAAGTGCCCCCCAATCATTGGAGTGCTGCATTCAAATCCTGTTGGCCATAAGCATTTGGAAGTTCACAATAGCTGTAGGACACATTTATTTCAATTTCATACATGTAAGTCTATAATGTAGTGCAGGATGTGGTGTCTTCACAAGAGAGGCCCAGGACAGGAGTTTCAGGGGATGCTGCAGTCCAAACTTGAGATTTCTTGACAGAAGTTTGAGGTTCTGTTTGTTCATATGAGGAAAGTGGGCCCCAGACCCTCTGGCTGTACTTGCTAATAGAGACTGATGGTCTCCAACACCCTCCATAGAGAGCAGGCTGCATAGCATCTTCATAGGGGGAACATTCATATAGGGCTGGAGGGTGATAAGCCTTGCAAAATATTCACCCATTAGGGACCAGTAAAGTGTGGTTTGCCTGTTTATACCTGGTGTCATCCTTTATTAAGAGGAGTAGGTGGAACTAAAGCTGTCTGGTCTTGTAATCCCATGTTTCCAAAACTAATTTATGAAAACATTCAGGCTCAATTTTTCAAAAGTGACTAGTGATTCTAGATACCTCACTTTTTCAGTACCCAACTGGAGATATTCTAAAAACCTGATTTTCAGGAATGCTGAATTACCCATCTTCTTAAATCCAGGCCCCTTGAAGGTAACTCAGGAACATCATATCAGTCACTTTAGAAATATTTGGCCATTGTCCCTGTTCATCATTAGATTTCAAATACCTTTTTTATAGAAACATCCCCATTTTAGAGATGGGGAGACTGAAGTACAGAGAAATTAAGGATGAAGGACAGCATTTTAGACTTAACTGTATCCTTAGCACGCCCCTCTTGGCTAACTCCAGGCAGCACTCTGATCAGCATGGTCACTTCAGGCAGCCTCCTGGCAGTACTGGCTGTTTTGGATTCCAGTCTGAGGTGCTGTTCTCCCTAGATACTGGATACCAAGGTGTGAATTGCAGGGTTTCCTCTGGGGGCCAGGCAACTAAAGGTTAAGCATTTCAGTACTAACTTTTAGGCACCCAAGTCCATTATTGGATCTAACCCTAAGCAACTTGTGCAAAATCTCAGATAGTAAGTTTGCAGGAAACTGCCCATCTCTCCTGAGTCTTGGTTTCATGCTCTGTTCAGTGTTTCATGCTGCCTTCTGGTCCCTTTCTTTTGGTTCAGCAAGACCCACGAGGCTAGAATTGGCTGGGTCCTGAAAAAGTTTTGACCAAGAAACATTTATTGTCCCGCATCCTTTTGGTGGCAAAGACTTTTTCCTTTAGAGCTGGAGTTTTGGATCTGGTCCTACGCGGGTACAGAGATGAGACTGTTGTGGCTGAGATGCGTGGTGGTTTCTGCAGATCCAGCTGCAGAGGGCAAGGCTTCTGGCTGAGTCTGTCTGAAAGCGGCACAGAGCAAAAAACAAAGAGAGGGAGGGAGGGTCATAAGTACCTTCCATTCTCTCCTGATAATCCCTTAAAAAATAATTGCAGGCCCAAACCTCTGGCCTCCAGCAAATTTTCCACTCGATTAAAGGCTTTTGTGAGGCTGTGGAAAGGGACACGCAGACTTGCACATTGTAACGGTGCCCGAAACTTCCAGCTGGGATTTTTTCCATCAAAAGGGGATTTTAGTAAAACCATTATAAGGGGCTTAGTCACAGAAAAGCAGTTGAGCTGTGAGACAGGGGTAGATTAGCATTAACATGCTTGTTTTTGGCACTAGGGACAAGGATAGAACTTATACCCAGCCACTCATATGCAACATCCCTTGGTCTGTCTGTCTGAGTTCCTGGCAGGTGTGACAGACATGTCATCTCAGCACACCGGGCACAGTCCTGTGAGTAAATACTGAGATGGAGGAGGGGACTGTATGGCTCAGATGCAAGTTCTACTGCAATGCAGTCCAGGTCAGTAGACTGAAATCCACTGCCATCTCTCCGATCAATGTTTGACATGGCCAATGTAAAATGAAGGGGTAATAGATGAGTGCATCTTAAAAACACACCATGAATATTGGCACATTACTGGCAATGTCAGGGGCCACCTGACTATGCCTCTTGTCTCTACAGGTGGTCCCTTCAGATCAAAGCTAAAACAGAGTTAGCAGCTGACACTGCTTCCATCAGTGCTGTGTTTCCTGAAAATAGAAATCTTCACTCCCCAAAACTGTCAGGCCAGCACCCAAGACACGATTTCACTTCACGAAAGAAGCATAATGTTGCCTGAAATAAAAGCTGTGGTAAATCCCATTGCTGGTAGCAAAAAACCTGGGAATGCCTCTGTAGTAGCAGAGCTTGGTGCCACCAAAGTCAGGAGTACTGATTCTTGCAGAACCTGTTCTTACAAGTCCTTCCAGATCTGGTTTTAAGGAGTCTAAACAGACAGCAGCTCAGGCCACCAGAAGATGTAGTCTAAAGGCTAGGGCTTTGGACTGGGAGTGAAAGGGAGGTAGGATCCAGTCCTGGTCCTGCTACTGACCTAATTCTGAGTTCTAGTAAACTAGTAGGTAGCACTTCCTGTAAAAAGGGCAGTGTCAGTACAACTGTCAGAAAAGTTAGAGATGGAGAGGACCTATTTTTCCCACTTCATGTGCAAAAAGGACACCCCCTCCACTTCTTCAGGCATCCTAATAATTACAAGATGATTGTTAAAAAATAACCATGCAGCAGAGCACAACAAACCCCACACCCAGCAAAATGAAATTAATGTAAACAGTCATTAAAGTGAAAAAAATATACCCCACTCTGTTATCATTCCCACACCTTCAGACCTCTGAAAAAAGCCCAGCAAATTAATTACCCTTTTTGTCCTGACCTAAGGCTAGATACAGACATTACACTTCTACTGGTATACGTGATCACAAACCAGTCTATACCCATAACATAATAGAAGTTTGGCATACAGAACCAGTTTATACTGTATTATAACAGAAGATCTGCACACAAAGATTGGTTTAAAAACAGTTGAACCTGGTCTAAGATTTGCACACCCCTCTTCCCCCCATGACAAGGATGAATGTGTGTTCTGTTCACTACCAATCTACACTACATTGCTTACAGAAAACTGTGTAACTTATATCAGTTCTGCCTCGGGCTTTTTGACTGCCTGTACCTAGTCTAAGTGTCAAGAGATTTGGACCCCATAGTACTATGGTAGGGAAAATGTTGGATCCAGAATCCATGGGTGCACATAGACAGTACCCAGGTAGTAACTGTCTCATGTCTCTTCCAAAGGGTCTCCAGCTTGGGCTTTTCCATAATTACAGCGGTGTGGGCTCATGCCACCAAAAGAGAATCAGTCTCATAGGGTGCTTATACACATGCATCGAGGCTTCTCCAACATACTGTAATTACAGCATGTTAAAACACACTCGATTAATCGAGTGCTGTAATTACCACACTCCAGCAGACTCCAGTGTCATGTGTATCAGCATCCCTGCACTGAAAAATGGCAGCAGGGGTGCTTTAACTAAAGATAATTTGACGAGCTTTAGTTAAAGTGCCCCATCGCCATTTTCGGTGCAGGGATGCTAATACACATTATGCTCCAGGTATTTTAATTAGAGCAGCTCTTGTAGCCGCTCTAATTAAAGCGCCCCTCCACCCCCACCCCCGCCACCCAGGGCACGTGTATAAACGCCCATAATCAGGAGGATTTAAAGCCATTTAGGGCCTTCTAGGTCAAAATCAGTATCATGTGCGAATCTACGGGCAACTAATAGAGGTTCTGGAACCAGCATTCCCTCTAAGCTGTGTGGCATGTACGGCCGTGCAAGCGTGCCTGGCAGTGGGGCATAAGCGCACCTGTTCGGCCACACACACCACACAGCTTAAAGACAACACTGCCTGGAACATGGGAGTCAGATGAGTTCTTGGTAATATACATAGCTTAATAACCAGGCAGCTGCATTTTGCACCTGCTTTAGTTGCATTTAAGGTGTAGTTCCATATTGGGCCTTGTGTTCACTAGGAAAAAAAGAAGTGTGTTCTTGAGTTAACTAAAGCAAGATAAAATCCTAGTGAAGACACAGTAGTCTGTAGTTTTCTTGCAAGTAATCAGCTCAATTTAAAGATAGCAGGGTAGGTAGTCTAGTCCTTAACTCACATGAAAACCTCCAACTGCCTCATCTATGTTAAGACTTTACTTGTGTTAGTTAGCTTAAGCTAAAAACATAGATTTTTGCCCCTAGGGAACACACAAGCAACAGCCCGTGTGTTCATTTCATCTGACTTACGTGTGACAATGCACTGACAGCAATAATGAGGTCCACCATCAAATGAAAGGACAGTGACCTCCATGGTCAGGCACAGATGGAAAAATGCTGCCCTGGTTATTTGCTACAACAGAGTTGACAGTTATAGGTACTGAATGCTGACAGTCAAAAAGACAGATATTGTCTCTGCTCTCTGCTCAGATGGTTTTCCCCACTCCACCATCATTGCCTCAGTCTTTTCTGGATTAAGCTTTAGCCAGCTAGACTTCAGATGTGCTACAGCCTTAAGGAGTTCACCACATTGTCTGGGTCAAATGAGATAGAGACAGAGTTGGATATCAGTTGGCAGGAAAAAATACCATTGCCCATGCTGCTTTACTCACCTGTCTAAAAGCTCCACATATGCACTGAATAAAAGGGACAATGGGATGGTGCTTTGTATTTCCATCCCTTTGGAAGGTGGAGCACTTGTTCATGGTTAGATGTGCGATTTCTGAGATCACAAAGCGCTGCTGAAGGACAGTGCTTTCCATTCCTTGTTGCATCCACAAGCTACTCAACACCTGCTCCTATCAACAGTATCAGCAACGACACCTGATCTTCATCCAGTGCCAAGAGATCATTCACCAGTGTTGTCAGTAGATTAGCTGGGCAAAAATCTAGTTTGTTCCCTGACTGACAAAGGTCAAGTTGATCAGAAGCTTCAAAATGCTCTGAGAGTCATCTTGCCACAGCCTTCTCAACAATCTAGAAAACTGAATGGTATGTAACCAGTTTATCAACATCAAGTAGTGGTTTCTTGAGCAAAGGCCAAAATAATGTTTTTTTTCAAAGCAAAGAAAGAGGCTTTTACTAGTGAAAATAATCCTGGACACAGGAATCCTGAATACTTGAGTATTCCCCACTGATCTTCAACAGAAATGGCTAGACACAAAGTGCAGGTAGGCCTCAGAGCAAACTACACTGAAAATCAAGCAGACAAGACTTAGTATTCAGTCCAAACTACTGTTTTGCCCCATGGACGCAAATAATTTATTCTGAATCTGTTCAGTTTTGTTTTGTCTGGAGGAATTCAGACTAGCCACTAAACTGAGACAGCCTGGGTTAACCAGTCTATCAACATCCCAAAACGAATCTGTTGTCTGAGGTTTTGTGGGTGATATGATGAAGGTACCAAAGCATGTACCCTGTCTCCTGTACAGCTATAGCATACAGCTTGCAAAATGATTATACTACAACTAATCAGCTTTGGCATGAAACTGACACTGATGCTGTGAGCATCTTCTTATCTCTTCGCTCATTGCAGGTCATCAGCAAGTGTGGGTGGCCTGTAAGGATGAAGCTGGGGAAAAGAATGTCTGAGCCTACTCAATTAGTGGTGGACCAAAGAGCATTTTACAATCCTCTTAAATTCTTGCTGGAGGTGTCTGTCAAAAGAACAGCATTCTTCCCCTGGAAGTATCTTGGCTCTGTTAACCTCCTGAAGTGGACCATCAAGACAGGTCCTTTGACTTAACAGAGGAGAGGGGCCTCACCCTCAAATTGCAAAAAATCACTTTGTGAAGTAAATGTAATAGTTACTGATTCCCTTAGACAAACACACTAAATCAAAAGTGTGCCTAGCTGCATGAACTGAAGTGCTTGCTTCCTGTAGTAATGGATCTGTAATGATAGCCAGGAAGTCCTGGCTATTGAATATGGATATTGAATTCACTTAGCAATTCACCAGTAAAACTAATACCACAGTCGTGAGAAACTTAATAGGTTCATGCAGGACTTTTGCCAGTAAAGCTGGGAAATCAGTACATTCAAACAAATCCTATCTTAACTGCATACCAGGGTTTGCACGCAAGTAGGACACAATCAAGCCAAGTGTGGTGGCAAGTGATGCTTTAGATTCAAATAGTGCCGTTGCCAATATCTGGTTTGGCTCATGATCACTTGAAGACCTGACTGGTGACAACTACACCAAACCTCAGCCAGCAGTGCTATTCAAATACATGCCAGTTCAGTGTGCAGTTATGGAAGGTCTTATCCTGTATGAGACTGAACACTTTAAAGCGCTCCATGTATTTTGTTTTCATTTATCAAAATTAGCGGGACCCTTGTCCGCAGACACCATCCTTCGAAAAAAACAAGTGTGAGTGAAACGAAAAGGACTGAAAATAAGCACTGTATCTTGAATTCAAGCTTCCCCAGTCTTCATAAAAGACCTTCCTGGCTCATTACGGCAGGGGGCAGGGAACTGGCTCCTGCTCAGCCATACTCTTATCCTTCATTCTAGGCCTTGGTGTTCCCAGTGTAAAGTATTTTATGGCATCCAAGGGACAGCCAAGAACCTAATAAAAACCTTTGTTGAGTAGAGGTGGTCTGTCTCAGTCATGCTACCCATGAGGGAGTCCTGGCTGGCTGAGAGCAAGCTGTGCTGCAATAAAGGAGGGATGCCTGGATCCTGGCTACTTAATCCAGTAGTCAATCCTTTGGATCATGGTGTACACATAAGAGGTTGAATCAGATGCCCCATGATTCCAGTTGTGGCTGATAAGCCCAATTCGAGAGTGACACAGCTTGTTACAAATCTCACAGATCCATATGTTGTTTGAGTTGGAGTCCAAGTTTACAGCACACTGCTTTCTTCTTTCTCACTTTGCTCGTATCCTCTGGATTAAAGCCACTTCATGTTGAGCTGCACCCAGTGCCAGATGTTCCCTCCAGATCAGAGGGGATTCTGCGTGCTCCTCTCAGCTTTCTACACTGGTGTTGGACGACTTCATATAATTTTTGCTCACATTGCAATACTGCCCTAAAAGGCAACCCGGCTTAACAACCAAGAATGCTTAACCCGTGTCTTGGCAAAGCACAACTGTTATATCTGATGTTTAAGTTTTCCCTTCTAAATCAATCTCCATGATCTTTTTCTGTTGCTCTTCTCTGAACCCCATCCAGATTATCAATACATTGCTGGTATTTCTGTGTGCAAAACTATGTAGATGATAGTCTAGGTTCGGTCTCTCCAAAGAGGGATTATTTCTACTTCAGCCATGTAAGGCGATGCTGCTTTCAGGGGCTGAAACCCCAGCTGTGGGTAGGCAGCAATTCACCGTCTGCTTATCTGGAAGGCTGGGGGAAAGCTGCAACTGATGATTAGTAAATGAGAGTGGAGCCAAGAGGGTTAATAGCTCTGGAGGTGAAAGGTAGGAGAGGGAAGGCTGTGGCACTGAGGGAGAAGCACAGAGCCCAAGTTATCTTCTCAGGGGTTGAAGAAAGACTGCAAGTTTTGGTTTCTCTGTGTCTGTTGTTTTGCATAGTGTTTGTTGCATTTCTGTGGGGACAAGTTTGCCCCATGAAAAGTAAACTGGCTGGAAACAGAACTGGTGGGCCTTGAGAAGGAAGCCGGGCAAGTGCCCTGTCCGCAACAACCCCACCCTACAGCCTAGCCCAGTATGAGGTTAAATTGTGGAAGCGTCACTTGGACAGATGGACAGAAGGGCTGGTCTGTCCTGTCCCATTTCTTTGTGTGCCAGTACTTTTGTCAAACTACAGGTGACACCTCATACTTTGCATGTGAAGTAAGGAGGATCCTGAGATCCCTGCGGCTCAGGCCCTTCTGCTGTGTTCGGGTTTGGGGCTCACAGGCTGCTAGGCGCAGGCGAGCGCTCAGCGCTACGGAGCTGGTGGTTTGCCCAGCGCCCGTGGGTCTGCGTGGCGCAGCGGCGGGGAGGGGACAGGCTCTGGGCTGCGCTGCGCGGGCTGAAGCCTGGCTCTCCAGGGCGGGCGGTGCTGCTCCGTGGCTCCTTGCACAGCTGAGCAGCGGTTACATCTACGAGAGCTAAAATGACCCTCCCTTCCCCCCGCAGCACTGCGGAGTAGGAGCAGGTCCTGAGCAACCTCAGCTGAGGGGCAGGGGGCTACCGGACAGGGCCTTTCCCTTCCCAAGCGCGGGGGGTGCTGCTGCTTCCCTACCCGTGCGCCGG